TTAGGGTCTGACAACCAGAAAAATCGGGTAAAGTCTCGGTCATTGCCATCGAGACCGACATGAAGAAAGGCCTTCTCAATATCTGTGGACAGGCCGTAAGTGAAGGATCGGAATCTTATGATGATGCAGCACATATCGCTTAGAAATGGAGGGCCCACCATAAGGCAGTCGTTCAAACTTGGAGAGTTGTTTGAGGATCGGGAGCTGCAATCAAAAACAACTCTGATAGGTCTGGTAGCAGATTCTTTCTTGACTGCGTGATGTGGGAGGTAGTGCGCTCTATCCATACTGTCTACATTGTCAACCCTTTCAATAAATCCACGCCTTTCATGTTCTTTGATAAGCGCCGCAATTTTCTCAATTTTTCCAGTGTTCTCTGCACCTCATTCTGAGCATATGACTCTGGTATTAAGAAACTTCATTTGGATGTGATAGGAAATTTCAGACCCAGGGGATTAAAATAGAACTTTTGAGGTAATGATAGACTTGTTCAAGTAACTGACCTGGACACACCATTGCTAGCTGTAGCGCAGTTGTCTTTCCCCTTCCTGCTGGACCAACCAGAACCACAATAGGTGATCCATCCAGCTTTCTGACTGCATCAGCCTGAATTGTCATGACAAACATGCCATAGTGAACATAATTTGTTATGGCGAAGTTGTGTTTTACCGTCAGTTCCATAGTCTGGAAAAATCCACATTTCAACGTTATTCTCTTTGTGTTATAATGAAATAAGAAGTCAGGCAAAGGCAAGAGACTACTCCACCTTTTTAAGTGGTGATTCTTGGTATGTAGGGACTAATATTTATAGTCCTCTACGTACAAAATTTGCCAGAACCGAAATGTTTTTAAAATAGCCCAAACAGGTTATCAATGAAATGGTAATAAGCAGAATTTGGACTATTTAGGTTATTAATTGGTTCTTATTTTCCAAAAATTGTCACCTTATCCTCATTTAACTTCGCAAGTATTAAATTTCAAGGGAAATCATGAGCCATATTTTTGGTAGAATTGAAGTGTATTAAATTTCGTAATTTTTCTAGTCTTTAATATGTGAATTAAGGTAACTTTGACCTCAGAACAGTAACAACAGAATTAATCATTTTATCCTTAAGGAGCTAGATGCATAAGATTTTCAACAGTTTAAGTAGGTACCCAAAAATAGTTACACAGTAAATATTTACTCTTGGTAAACTTCGTTGTTGTTATGTTTTGTCAGGCACTATATGGAGGTTCTTATTCTCCCCCCTTCACCCAGAGTCCGTTGGTGTATCCTCTTGTTTTCTTTAACACAATTTCAAAATAACTGGTACAATTTCATTATAATTGGCACTAAAACCCGTTATTCATTATTGACCATTATTGGCTATTAGAGCCAGTCAGAGATAACCTCCTCTTTGCCGTTTAGTGTCCTGCATGTTATATCCAATCAGAGAATCGTTATTTAATAACCGAATAATGGGGGTTTACGGTCAACATATTTTAAATAATTCGCGATTGACTATACAACAGCTAGCTACTCACTGCCCGCCAAAACGAGCTGCCAAAAATCATTTTTGTTCTATCGATTAAACATTTACACTAAAATTTCAATCATGACAATCAGGGTTGATTCATTTTTAAAATGCGGCTGGAACGCCGTCTCAAAAATTGCCGTTCTATCATCGGAGAAAACTCTTCTTGAGGTATCTTTTACGGCTCATGGTTCACCGTATCCATTTATCGATCTATTATACCCAATCAGAGGCTTGTTATTCAATAAACAAATAATGGCGGTTTGTGGGCGTCATACTCTAAATAATTTTCGTAAAACGATTTTAAAAAATGGCATGCATTTGCGAACAGGGGAGATGTTTACTGCCGTTGGTTTTTTGTTAAATGCGAAGTACGTGAAAATGTAGAAAAGTAAAATCGGGAAAAACGGAATCAAGTGTTGTACTTCGGAGCCTCCATTGATACTGATTTAAAAAAAGTCATCTTTCTTAAGTATTTACTTGTTCATGTCTTGCATGCAATTCCAGCTCGCCACGTGTGGGTTCTGGTGAAGGACGAACGCTCGTGGTCTAACTGACATAATTATAGTACGCAAATTTTTTGCTATGATTTTCGAATAATTTAATTGTTTATCGTTTAAAGAAGAGAAAAAGTGAATCAGATTAAGATTAGAAACGAATGTTTTGGTTTGTGAACTCTGTTCTGCTTCTCCTTGTTTAGAATACACGTGACACAACAAAATGCTGCATCAGATATCGTTGACACCGACTCCGTACATGCAGTCATAACTATCGCCACAAAAGAATCGGAGATGTACCAGTCTTAAAATGTCCTGGAAACACGGTCTTAAAAAATCAGAGAAGACCTCTTCTCGGCCTTGAGATCAATAGCCTAGTCTTGGATTACAATGTCAAAGCATCCTGCATGGAGCATGAGGCACATGAACTTGACATACCCGTAGATTAACATTCATGGGGCCGTGGAGTGCGAAAGTATCACAAGAGGTTGATTTTGATCCTCTAGTCCCATCCCGCGCCTAAATGACAACAAATGTCGATTTCAGGGGAACATATCACCCATTTCAAAGGTCAATCCATCTTAATCTATATTTTTGTTTTTGGCTCTGACATGACATCCAATCCTTTTAGTTTTTAACCTGATTCACAATAAAATCTAAGAGACGTTAATTTTGTTTGACATCTTCGGCACAAGTCCACTTTTTAGTTAATTATATCTAACTAGGGACTTGTTTTTTGTTATTCGAATAAAGTGGGCCACGATTGACATACCTATTTTTGGTGAAACCTTTTCCGAGGATTGAAAAAATCAGACCACTAGAATCTGGCTTTGAAAATAATAATCAGGGTTTATTCTTCTAAAATCACCCATACCTAACAAAATCTTAGAACTTCTTGAATGGAACAAAGAGAGCAAGTAGCAAGCTTAATGAGAAAAAAATAACAAGCCTGAAAAAATTAACTTGAACATTAGTATTCTTCACTGACTCATGATACTCTGGAACATAGGATTTCAGAGAGATAAGTAAAACAAAATAATGTCACTTTACCTTTGGTAACACGAGTTTAGTCTTATAACCAACAGAAAGGTGAGACGTATTAAGAGGTTGAGTGAAGTGGCAAGAGAATTAGGTTTAACAAAAAATCGAATACATTGCACTGCACCGTAAGAGTGAAAATCACCATTTTTTCTTACTTTTTTTTAACATTTCAGAACTGATTGCGAAGCATGGCATTTTGTCATACATTAACAAATATATTTTCCAGCCTAAAATTATATTTAATTACTACCTCCCGCCAAAAATGCTTGAGCAGGGCAAAAGCAAATTACACAGAGAATTCAGTATTGGTTTAGCTGTTGTTGAGTAATAAAACCCTGAAGTAATGAAGTAGTGAAGAGTCTCCTTCGATCTTCCTAGATAAGATCGAAGGAGACTCTGCTCGCAGGGTACATGCCTATTTAACTCACTGAATAGTTGACCCATGGCTTAAAGGCAGCCAGTTACTGAACTTGCTTGGTTACTGAGCAGTCAGCGAAAATGGTGTGCATTTTAGTAAAAGCCATCATTTCCTGGGTAATATGTGCTTATTTAGTTGTCAGGCAAGGCATCACTTTGCTAGCCTGCATGGCAGACACTACGCAGGCTATCACTTTACTCGTGCGGTGAACATTTTGTATTAAGTCTGTTATCAAGTCGAATACAACAACTGCTTATTACTCCACTCTTACTGTTGTAATGCTGTAATAAACTACTAAACTTTATTTACAGAGGTCTAAAAAGTCTTAGTTAACAATCGATTAGTCATATATATGAAATATTCAAACACTGAAATAATCACGTCAATTGGCTGATACAGAAGACATTGGATGTGGATGTGGTGTTTTCAGCTTTTGGCAGGGTGTCATTATCACCTACCACAAGGTGTGCTACGCCTGACGTAGTTCCCGACCTGCTAACAATAGTAGCTACTCATCATGATACTGATTGCGGACAAGCTACCTTCGAGTCCCATTGACTGCTAAAATTGACAAGACCATACGAACGCCTGTGTGAGGCAATGGTTCCTGAATTTGGACATGTTTACAGCCCTTGCCGTCTTCGTGGTCGAAGAAATCTATCTGTAATTACAATGTGTCAGCAAAAGGTGTTTAGAGCATGGACAGAGCACAAGGTTGGACTGTAATTTCGTGTAATTCGTAAGGTCATGGTCTTTGTGCTCTTATTTGCAAAATCGTAACTAGTACTTTGAGAAAAGATACTCCTTTTATACTGGTTTAAAAGGCGTAATTATATTATCTTGGTTTGATTTTGATACAACAAAAAATTCGCTATCAAGGTTTAACTTTTTTGATTTTTTTACTTCCTTGTTGGAGCTTGTCCTTTGTCCTGTCAATTTAAAGAAAAAGAAGAATGTTAACAACTATCACGTGTTTCCGTGGTGGTAAAACTGATATTATGGATATCTTTGCTTCCTAGCTGAAACTAAAAATAACTGACAGAATACCGATCCCTCACCAAAACGAGAACTAAGGAACAGCCGGCAGTTAGACTTACGGGTGGAAACTGATTTGATTTGCTGAGGAGATTTTCAAGATTATGTTTGCGTTGCTGTTGGTCCTGGTCTTGCTTCTTGAGCTCGCTGACTGGTTTGTGCCCTTTTAACTTGTCCAAATGCCACCTGTTCCTTTTGCCTCACAAAGATAATACTCTGTCACTGCACTCCACTTGTTTTGATATCGCCTTTCATTTTCAATAAACCGCACCCACCACTTCCTTTGGTCTGAATTTAGTCTACGACACTTTTTGACGCAATCTTCTATAACGTTGATTTCCAAATTTTTTTGGTAAACGGGCGAACAAGTGGGGGCTCCATCTGTCTGACTGGAAAGCATACAGAGACCTGATCCTTCGGGAAGCCATTTGCCATCATTAGCCCACTGTTTGTACTTCAAAACCACCTTATTTTAACAAACTTGTAGGCGTGGGGTTAAATATGATTTTTTATATGCTTTAAACAGGGCTCAATCCATTTTTTTATGTCAAAAAGAAAATCCAGTACTTGGGTTTCGGCCTCTGGTGTGTGTGCTTGTCTGATGTTTTCCAACAACCCTTGCAGTGTCATACTGTCGATTCTTCTTAGCCTCTTCGAAATTCTGCTGAAAAACTGTGAAACAAAAAAATCTTTTCATTTGACACTTTCAAGCTATTAATGGTACGCACGGAGTACTGACACTACTCTAATAATCCTTGCATTTTGCAAAATTTAGGCCCTGGCAAAAAAAGAACGAGCTAAGTTTTAAAATAATACTTGATCGCCGCTGTTGCTGAATGCTGCAGCCATGGCCTGACTTAGCAGGAGGGAGACTGGACTTGATGTCTAGACTCAAATGCTATGTATACATACCTGAACTACATCCTCGTGTGTGTGACCAACCATAAGGAACGACAAATAAACCTATACAAAGATATAATTAAAATAAATAGTAATATTAATATCAAAGCGAATTAATAGGGATAAAATTATTCATTGGGGAGTTTTAACAACACAACCTTATAACGGTAAATCAACCTGAAAAAAAAAATCAACTGACACCGCATTCGTTGTTTGATAATGTGCTACCTCCTTGAATATTCCAAAGATATTGATAACCTGATAACCGTAAATCAACCTGACAAAAAAAAATCAACTGACACCACATTCGTTGTTTGATAATGTCTTACCTCCTTGAATATTCCTTGAATAATTTTCAACCAGAAGAACGCAAAAACCTAAAATATATCTGTTTTTGCACTCACTGTTGGAGTTGTCCATCTGAAGGAACAGGTAGGGGGGCAGCTGTCCTTCCTAAAACATATGCGAAGTACCTTAAGTATGGAGAGTGCTAAGAGTGTTGATTAAGTTATTGTTCCTCGTTAGAATGATAAAACAACTACAAATCGTCAAAAGGCTTAGGAAAGTAAAATCACCTCAGCAATTTCTATGAATATTCGCAGCGGCACATTTAAAGTGACATTTGAGTCATTGGGCCATCTCATGAGGTCGATGAAGCTGAAGACACGTTCGTTTCCGTGAGAAATGGCACCAGTGACATGAGTTCGAAGGAAGTGGTTTGTTTCGTCCTATAAAAAGAGAGCATAATCTTCTTACGCGATTTTAACCTCTATTTTTAAACTGATTCCCTCTCTTTGCATTAGAGAAGTAATTTGAAAGAAACTTATATAATTAGAAATGGTCTGACTGTGAACAGAGTTTCTGTTCAATTTAATAGGATTTTTAATTTGCCTATACCTTTGAAAGACAATTTGCGTGTGGTAAGTTTGTTTTGGATTGGTCCATTCCATCGATGATCAAAGAAAGGAACGTTTTCGGACATAACTCTGCTGTAAGGCAGTTTCCGTAATAAGCCCTTCTCTCAGCCCTACAGAATGCGAAGGAGACAGAGTAAATAAAACGAGTTGTTACAACTTGAACCTCATTTCAAATATCTACGATAAATGTAATACACCTAGTTTTTATCTGCTGCTCATTCTGCTGCTTTCTCTTTTGGGCGAAAGATATTCTTTTCTCCTTGTCAGAAGTCCCCTGGAGACAGAGTTTCAAGGCAACACACACCTTACATTTGGTAAACTTGTTCTCCTAAAACGCAAAGGTGAAAATTTAAAGATAATAACTGCAAAATAGTCACTTAAGTGATTATGATAATGTTAACACAAAATGTCATTGACTAATAATTCGAATCCCCCATAAAAAAACTGTGTTTGCACCCAGTTATTGTCTTCAAATGCCCTTGGTAAAATGCAGTACTCCCTGGAGCATCTGAAAACAATTGTTTATGCAAAGTTTGGGGAGTGGGCGGGGGGGGAGCGGCAAACAGAGTTTATTATCAATTGGGGGATTCAAAAATAGAGAATATATTAATAGAAGTATACCTTTGGTGTTATGACATTCCGAAATTTCTGTTTCCACAGCCTGCAGAACGAAGGTAATGAAATCAGTTTTCAGCCAGCACTTTCTGTTTCTTCGGAATACGTGTCGTAAATTTCGTTCTTTGTCACGCAGGTTGGGAGCCAGCACTAGTCTTCATTGGGGATCGGATTTGCACAGTCTTAGATGTAATCTGTTGAAAATATTTTTCCTGATTATTGAAAGAAAACTATATGATAATGTTGAAGGTAAAGATGAATTGGATTAATCAAAAACAGTGTCACCTTTTGACCAAGCTTCAGCTTTCGGGGTTCTTGGCTTGATGATCTTGCGCCCTTTCCTTGCTCCTTCTGGGGAAACCCTTCCATCCTGCTCAAACTCTCTTTGTAGGCGATGAAACCTAAGAAAAATGTGGAGATCTTTTTGATACTCAAATATAATAACATTCTAAGAAGTTCACTGCGAAGCGGACGGAGAACCTGAAAATAACAAAGGTTGACAAATTTATATCCGCTAATAGTGTTAGTGTTTATGCTTCAGTTGCGGTAACTCCAGATCTTGTTTTATTTCATACTTTAGCTTGTATTACAAATTAATTCAACAGAATTGGTAAAGTTCATGAATTTCTAGTGCCAGCGTAAGTTTCTAAAGTTTATGGGTCAGCCACTGGACCCTTCCTCCCGCACCGGGATTCACCTTCGGGTAAGGGATAGGCTATCATGCACTCTGTACTGTATGGTAAATTTAGTGTTCAGTCGAAAAAAACACATGTTTGGTTTTAAGCCCCCATCGCCACAGTACCACAGCTATTGTGAGTCCACACACCATGGCATTTGCACGGTTTCCACGGTTTATAAGATGGTTAGGTGAGAAAAACTTTATTTGGAATAACATTGATGCCGAAACACTATTTGCTTTCAGCATGCTGTGCGGCAGACTTGCTTTTCATTTATGTGGAATGTATAATACGGTTTTCCTTTCACGTAATACTCCGATAATTGAAGAAAGCTTAAAATAAATGATCTTCTGTCCTCTTCAGTGAGGTCTTGAAATGCTTTTCGACATCTGGCAATCTCTTCTCTCTTCTAGCATTTCTCTCCCATGATCCCCTCCATTGTTGCGTCTGACAAAGCCTTATGCTTTCTCTTACATGTTAACGGATTTGCCACAAACTGCAATAAAAAACAAAATACAGCACCTGACGAACACCAATGATAAACACAAATGCTGGTCGTATAGTGTGGGTTGAAATAAATGGCGGTGATTTAGCGATAAACTTCCACCAGGATATACAACCGAACTAGGGAATCAGTTTTCCACATTTTAATGTTTTGTCAAATCCTATTTTCACAGCGCCACTCACCTTGAGGTGCTTGTTATTCTTTTCTCTGTTTCGGCGTAGTATTCCTTTTGACGAAGGCAGAGAAGCAGTCGGATTATTTTCCTACCCACCCCTTTCACTCTCATCATCACTATTGACATCATATCTGATGGGATCGTCAACTAAGGCCTAAAGCAAATATGAATAGGCGGCTATTTTCATTTTAAGAGATAGACAGTAATATCATTTCATAGCGTTTGAAAGCATTGTTTTTACCCTTCTATCTTCCTCGTCGTCCTCCGCATGTTCTTGTTTCTCGTTTATTTGGTTAGTATTAATAGCGCTATATAAATGAATTATATTATTATTATTATTTTGAAATATTCTTAGTTGTTAATTTTGTCTTTCAACTGCCTATTAAGTTACATAATTGCATAGCTCTATTAATTTCTCTGATTTACAATTAGGAATATAAACTGACTGAACTTATAGTGGCCGTTTTCTTGGATCCTTTAGCTCCTCCTAGCACTCCCGGCATAACCTCTATAAGGCAACCCTCCTTTAGTTGCTGATTCTCTCTCATCTTAAATATAAAAATGTTGAAAAAAACAACTTATTGGGTTAGCGGCTAGCGGCATTAATTACAACCTTTCCGGGAAACCATTTGAATTTAACTCGCAAAGATCTCCATGCTTTAATAAAAAGGTAGGGTAGTAAAAAGTCAATACGTAACACAGGAGATATAATGGGGAAAGGGAGAAAAGCAGGTGTACCTGTAATTGTATTGTCTTGCATACGTAACACAACGTTAACATAGCTTCCAATCAGATTTATTGTGTACTGTTCTACTAGTGCTAATAGCAGAGTAATGTTAAGCATACCGGCTGGCCATCGATGAGAATTACCCAACTCTCAAGATTCATATTCAAAATTTGGCTTGCTACCCACAGAAGGTCATTCTTGCTGGTGCTGGCTTGAAGTGTCAAAATTTCTTGCGTGACTGGGTGTCTAAGGTACGCATGAACTGTGGTAACGACTGCTTCCGCTTGGGTAAAGGTCAGGCAGTTACAAGCTCCATGACAATTGCAAACTCATTTCAGAGTTTTCCTACATTAACGAAAATTAAAAGTGAAGCTATGTAGACTAGATGTATAGACACCAGTGACATACTGAAAAATACATTCAATACAACTGACCTGTTTAGCTTTAATTCTATTTCAAGCGAAGAAGTAAAGAAGTAATCTTTAATACCTTGGATTGCTCTTCTCCAAAAATTTTTGTTATATTTTTGAGATGGAGAAGCTCCAGTTGAATGAAATAGTATGATTTGTTTTCCTTATAGTCCATGAAATGTTCTGCTTCACTTTCTGTTTTTGCTCTCTTCTGTGAGGTTGTTGTTCTCGGACTGTCAGCCATTGTGGATATCCCAGAGTATTCCGCGTTGAGTGAAGCAATAGTGAAACTGACCAGGGAGGGGATTGGAAAAATTGTAAATAATCCCCATAGCGATTAAGTTAAGGTAGAAACCAACCAAGTTAACTTCTAAGAACGCGTGGTAACCGCTACTTTTTATGTTACCAAATGAAAGTAATAAGCCTACTCAGCAAATGATCAATTTTTGGTTCGGGGAAAATGTCGTTCACACTATTTTTAAGGCAAACGCGTGGAGAGGGGTAACTGCTAATAACTTCCCAGTTGTGCTGATATTTCAAAAAAAGACGTATAAAGAGCAGTTGTTATGTTATCATTTGTTGCTTGTTTTGAAACCTTGTTGTAATTATCATTGCATTTGTGCCAGTTTACGTTTACACTCTGAAATTTGCGGAAAAATAACTTTATCATTTTTCTAAAAAATGCCTATTCAGCGTTTTTCTCCATATTGAAGCGCATCTAAAGGTCCACTTCGCTCACTAAAGAAATACAAAAAAAATTTACATTGTATATAAATTGTACAAAACTGTAAATGCAGAGAAGAAACTGAAAAAGCGACAGTGAATTGTCATTTGTTCAAAATGACTTCGTGCAACAGACTTACCTTGCATCAGCCATAGTTTTGGAATCTAGAAGTGGAAAATTATAAATTATTTGAGTTTCGGACTTGAATTCGTTTTACTTGTGGTAACAGTCCAAAAAATAGTTTTAAGCAAGGAAAGGAAGGTTAATATTTAAAGCAGAAACTGAGGTACAAGCCACCTCGATCTTCTTGATCTAAGTACAACCCGCAACTGGCCTGGACAGTAAAAACTAGGGCTTTCGTACACGCGTTTTCCCGTTGTTTTTGCTGCCTCAAGTGCCTCATCCTGCAATGGTGCGAAATGGTCTGTCGCATGCCACACATGGTATAGTGAGGGTGTGATTCCACACCTCCCCCTTCCCCCCAACGTCTTCTCAACCTGACTCTCAATTCCAGTAGTTGTGGCTGGTTTTCGGGTTATAGGATATTAAAGGGGGGGATCTTTATCTTTTTCAAGATATTTTGGACAAGGAGTATACGAAGGTGAGTTCGTATCAAAACTGATTAGTAGCGAAATGACCAGTGTCGTTTTAATGCATGGCCTGTGCGCTGTGAGATTGTCAATAGTGATAGTGTTTATAAAGTACGTCCAGTGTAATTATCTAATTTCTTTATCTTTTTAGATTGAAAGCGATAGATTTCTGGCCCAATGACGTCTGCAGAAAAATTCTCACCTGGGCGGGGGTTATTGTTGTGCCACTTTTAGCCGTAAGACTCTTAAATGAAGCATACATGAAGTGAAAACAACAAAACGGTCCAGGTTTTCAGTAGACGTTTGCTGGAACTTTTCTTCGTGTTGTCCACCCCTTACCAGCCTTAGGGTCATATATCCTAAAAAGCAAGTCGAGAACATCCATTCCTACAAAGAAGCAGAGTTTGTAGTTGGCTTTTAGCGTGGTTAAATCCCTAGTGACAGACATGTCTACCTTTGAAAGGTGGGACCTTCAATATGATGTTTCTTATTCCAGTGTGCGAGGTATAAAGTACAAGTTTACACCGTCAATCTTCGACTTCGAAAGGTAGGTGTTACTGGTTAATAAAGAAGTGTTCTTTGATCGCTTTGCGGCTGTAAAAGTTTGGAATAACCTTGATGAAAGCATGAAACACCTCCCCCTTAAATCCTTTAAAAACAAAGTCATGTCAAACATCTTACAGTCTTACTGTTTGTGAGTCTTTTTTTTTTTCATTTTTTTCCTTTTATCTATTTACTAATTCTATGTTTGTTCTAGCTTTAGTGCCAACCTACCTCCTATGCCTGAACATTATTTAGCTTTACTCAGCTCGATTAGCTTTTTAGTTATTCTGAGTAAATGTTACCTTTTTTTGTATTAACATATTATATTGTAAATTAAGTTAACTTTTATTTCGTAATAAAGCTTATGTTGTTGTTGTTGTTAGGCCTGGTGACCTATGGTCTGACTAGTCAGCGAAAGTGACCTGTATTTAAGACCCAAGTGGAAGTACCTATTAAGGAAATCCTTTCGATTTACCTACAATACCAGACGAATTATATCTCAAAATCTCTGAAATCCTATCATTTGACAGATTGTCAGTTTGTGGTATCCTTCAGAGTTGCTAGGTTACTGCATCACGACTTTTTAAGATACAAAGGCCTCAAGAACTTCCACTAATTTACTATATATTGCCAGCATTCCCTACAAATCCCGGAATGCCAATTTGCAGACCAGTTTCCAAGAAATATTATTATTGCTAATACTGTCATACAAAGGTGTCAAATCTGGTTTTCATTGACTCCGGCCAACAACCAACAAGCAGTATCTTTTACTTTACTTTTGCTCCCTAGTCTACATCTCCAAAACGTTCCTAAGGACCCTTGCTGACATTAAGAGGGCACAGTTTGGAATCAGTTGAATGGATGCGTCGACTCCTTTGGTCCTCTGATTTTCTTTTAACCTCAGCAGTATTGTCCCCAATGCTCCCACCACTATGGGCATCACCATTGTCCTTACGCTTCACATCTTTTGAATTTCTCTCGTGAGATTTTGGTATTTTTCTACTCATCCTCCTTTGTTCGGACCCTTCCATTGTCCGTAATTGCCACGACTATAATTTTGCAGTTCCTATTTTTTGTTAATGACCAATAGATCCAATCTCCTAGCCTCAATTTCATGGTCTGTTCGTATACTAAAATCCCACAGCCTCTTGTAATCCTCATTTTCGAGTACACTGTCCGGCACATGTTCATACCACCTCTCATTTCACTGAAACCCATATTTTCCTGACAGGTCCCAATGGATTTTTTACAATAACTGAGCGAATCCTCGCGTGCTGATTGGTCGAGAGCTATGGTCTATGAGAGTATAGACCATGGAAATGATGTAACATGTCACGCAGTGTTGGTTGTTTTGTTTTTGGTTTTCATAAAAATAATTTTACTCCTTAACATGGACCAAGAAGAACCAAATTTCAACATATGGGGAGAAATTTCTGACAGTGAGTTGGTGCTTGAAGCTGCAAAAGTAGAGCAAAAAATACGAAAAACAACAAGAAAAACGTCGCAGGAAATTAAAAATTAAATGTTATTGTAAAAAACAAATCGACCACAATTTTTCATGGTCTACACTCTCATAAAATGTTGAAAACTTTGCAGTGGGGTTTGTGGTTCCACGGGAGTTTTGAACATCTTATGACGTCATTTCTATGGTCTATAAGAGGTCACTTTGTTAAATAGATTGCTGTAAATAATCATAATTATAAAGGAAATATTTAACTTTTGTGTAGTTGACTCGGTTACATAAAATTGGGTTCCAGATTTATTTTCAAAGGGATAAAGGATGTTTTAATCCATTGTTTGGAAAGAAAGGGAAATTTGACACCATTTCCAAGGCGAAAACATCACACTTTGATTAGTCTCCCAAGCAGCTATTTCTGACTCATCAATCAGCAAAACGCTTGACAAATGTGGCTGTGTATGAGACTACAACTTGATACCAACTGGCCAGTATCAGTATTTACAACTAAGTTGTATTGTATTATCATTATTATTATTGTAATGAAATCGGGAGCTCGGCGTTTAGGCTTGGGTAAATCTATATATTAAAAGGTCCAAGTACCTTAGAAAATTGCGCCAATAGAAATGAAAGCTAGCCCAAACTGCATGACGGTCAGTATTACAAAAGAGAAGAGCGCTCAATATATCAATCTAACTTAATAGCAGTAAATCAGTCGCACTTAACAGAGTAAAAGGATTTTCTGCTGTTATTTTTCTGTCCTGATCACTTGTGTTTGTTAAGAGTATTCATTGTTTAGCAATGAATAGTATCAACTATTTAACCAGAGACTAAATCGTTCTTTCCACTATATTAATTGTTACTGCTTATCTGCAGTTCATTAAGCTTTTTCCTCTTCGTAGTTCCAACTTTGTTAGTTGACATTCTGTTCATTGTAGCCACAGAAAGTTTCACTTTATTGAGGGTTTGCAAATCTTCCTGAATAAGCCATAAAAGAAAGAAAATTCTGTTGTAAAAACCAATTTGTGCACTAAAGGTTTCGAAGAGTAATGCTTAATGAAAAAGTGGGTGGCTGTAATTCAAGACTGTGCTCTATCAAGAGCTGAAAGGAGCCTAGTGCTCTGAACAGGGCATCCCGCATATTTCTAAAATTTATGAGATTTTCTTGTTGTCCAGGAGCAAGCTACACAATGCTGCTAGACCACAGCCTCGTTTATTATCGTACTAAAGAATAATGTAATATTTTTTGTCTGTTACAGTGAATTTAAAATAATTAGACTCTCAGGAATCTGCATACGTGGTAATTGTCTCTTCTTCACAGCAATAATTCCTACCCCAAGCTCTTTTACAAGCTCAGAGCAGTTCCCACAAGGCACTTTTGCCTCCTTACTGTTTAGCTCCTCCTCGACCTCCTCCTCACTGAAATAGCTGCTTTCATCTAAGTTCAGAGACATTTCCATTTCATCATTGATCGAGTCACACTCTTCCATGGTTGATCTCATCAAAAAAGCTGTTTCCCCAAGGATTGTTACGGCATTTGGTGAAGGTGTGCTTTTCAAAGTGTGAAGGGGGCAACTCTTCAAGGAAACGCTGTGATAATGTGGACTCTGTATCATACTTTTGAAAGGTAGGTTTTGCAGTTGAAAAGGTGAACTTTTGAAGATAGACTTTGCCGAGGTAGGCATTCTAATTGTGAGGATGCATTCTCCAAAGGTGGGCTTCTCTCTTCTGAATGCAGACTTTGCGTGCTGTTGATGCAATATTAGATAACTCTTTGATGGAGGTGGCCTTTGTAATTGTGCAGAAGACAGACTCCATGACGGCTGTGGACTTTGTGGTTGTGTTGAAGATAGACTTTGCGAAGGTGTGCTTTGTGAGTGTTTGGTCAGACTCTGCAGAGGTGCACTCTGTGAAGCTGACAGGGTCTGCAACAGTTGTGTATGTGGTTGCAAAAGCAGACTTTGCGATAATGGGCCTTGGAACAGCGGTGGATTCTGAAAAGTTGGTGTTGTCAAATGCGAGGAGATTTGAATCAGGTAGATCTTTATTCTGAAAGAAAGCTGCTGTTTGTGTCTTCCTTTTCTGGCTCGATTTCCGCGTTTTTTTTCTTTTTCATGTCTTCTTTTGAACTTGTTTTTTTCGCCGTCTCTGACGCTGTTTGGATATGTTTGTTTGGCTGCTTCCCTTTTTGTTGTTTTTTCTCTTTTCTTGGAGCACTTGCTTTGCTTCGTGTTGTTGCAGTTCTTGTTGCTGTGTTGTTTGTTCAATGAAGTTCATTTCATCGCTTTCTTTTGCTATCTGAGATCTCTTTCTCTACCTTTTTCAGGGAAGTAGTGGGCAAAATGACGGAATTCGCAAATTTTTAGCTTTGTTGCTGTAACCTTGGGATTAACGTGTAGGTTAGTCTTGTAACCGGCTCAAACTGGTTTTGGGTCACACCCTTTCCCCTGGAATTTTAATCTTCCAATTGGGGGTCATTTGAATGGTTTTTTCGGCTGGAGTGGGGCCATTTGGATGATTTTTGGCTTAAGGCGATGTTATTTTACCATAGTATGCAGAAAATGAGTGCAGATAAGAGAAATAATAAGGCCAACCAACAAGAAGCACGAAATTGTTCTATTGTTGGTTTTTCCCAGCAAGAAACTAAAGTTAGCCTTACTGCTGATTTGAGAAAAATTTTACCTATGGTAATAATGTGAAGGATAATCGTAATTCACTTGTCGGAAGACTGCTTTCTGTCCAAATGAAGAACTAGAAAATTTGGTCCTTGTGAGGGAAGGCTGAAGGGCTCCTATTCCCACTCCACGAAGTAATGTTCAACTATGCAAGCCTGAAACAGCAGTCAGTACCAGTCCAAAGGACAAAAATTATGGAAACAAAGAGAACTCTTCACGGTTATACCAAATCTCACGAAATTGAATTGAAGCCTACTGTAGATCCTTTGGTCCAGTTACAAAATACAAGCTGGCAATTAGTCGATTATTGGATACTGAATTACATGAAATGTGAGGGTACAAAATTACGGAAGTTATAAAAGTTACTTTTAAAAGGAGAAAAGATGGGAAATGAGGCACGAAGAACAGTATTTTAATAGCAGGCCACAAATTGTGATTTATGCCATTGACATTAGTGAAAGTTTGAATTTGTCCCAGCAAAAGTTATTGACCGGTATTGCTGTTTGGTTGAGAGAGGGAAGTGGCTGGCTGTTAGAAAACATAAATGGACACTGTATTAATATTGTAAAATATAATCCATTGAGGGGAAATTCATATATCCCATTACCGGAAGAACTTAGGCATGGCAGAAAGGTACTGGTTAATATTAAGAACAAGGATAATGAGTGTTTTCGTTGGTGCCATGTTCGCCAGTTATCCAGGAAATGTTAAAAAGTCAGATAGAAAAATGGCACAAGAATTAAATTACCAAGGTGTGGAGTTTCCAGTGAGTGTAAAAGATTATCACAAGATTGAGGTGGAAAGTAGTATAAATATTAACGTGTTTGGCTATGAGGGTAAACAATTTTACCCTATCTTTGTTTCTTTTGTATTCTGAAGGATTTTAGAAGCGAACAATGAGGAACAAATAAACACTTGGGTATACCAAGAACATATCAGGCAACTGTTTATTTCACCTTCTTACAACATCTTACATCACGTGAACAATACTATAAACCTAAAATACTAGTTTCCAAGCAGAATAATGAGAAAGTATTGAACCTAATGTTAATAACTGAAGATGAGAAGAAACATGTGCTGATGAAACATTTTAACAGAATGATGTTCAGTAAGACTAAGCAGCAGCACAGAAAGAATTTTTGCATGCATTGCCTTCAATGTTTCGGCACTAAAGAGATACTTATTAAGAATACGCCTGTGTGTATGGTAATAAATGGAGAACAATCTATTAGGATGCTGAAGAAAGGTAGTACAGTACAGTTTAAGAATTTTCACAAGCAGTTGACAGAACCATTTGTCATTTATGCAGATTTTGAGGCTATCACAGAGAAAGTAGATAGCTGCCAACCTGATAGTACTAAATCTTATACTGAGAAATTGTAAATTAAACGAGACTTACCTGTAAGGTGAAGTTTGATTGAGGTTCTACCAGGTCATCACAGCAGCAGAGATTACATGAGATAGCGCATGCGCATAGCTGGTCAATATTAAAAGCACTGAGTGTCCGTATGTAATAAAAAGAAGACCCAGTAGGCCCATAACAGGATATGGGCTGAGTATGAAACCAGGGAGGGTAACAACTGGGAGGGCATGTAATCTCTGCTGCTGTGATGACCTGGTAGAACCTCAATCAAACTTCACCTTACAGGTAAGTCTCGTTTAATTTACAATTCTACCAGGTCATCGCAGCAGAGATTCCATGAGATTTCAAAGCCATATGGACACGAAGACAAAATAAACAAGGAACACCTATAAAACACAACTGGTGTCCTAGTTTATTAACTGTAGTAGAAAAACCAAGACCTAGAAAGCTAGGCTTATACATTAATGCTGGTACCAAGAACAGCTTGGCCAAAACGAGAAACATTATCTTCAATAGGTTTGTTGTAAAACTTACGGAAAGTGCAATCTCCTTTCCAAGACGCTGCCTTAAGAATCACATCTATAGGCACCTGGCATGCATTTGCTTTGCTGGTAGAAGCAGCTCTGGTACTATGGGGTTTGAACACTTCCACATCAATACCAGCCTTGATCATAACATTCTTAATCCAACGTGAAATAGTGTCCCTAGACACGGCCTGGTAGGGTTTAACAAAACTAATAAAGAGTCTGGTTTCTCCACCTCTAAGGGGTGCAGTACACTTAATGTATTCTGAGAGAACTGAGTAAATGCAAACCCTGCCATCTGCTGGGAAGGCAGGAAGGATAAGCTCTGGTAGATTCCTGCCTGGAGCTGACTGCTTAACAATATCCTTAATAATAAATTTATAGTGGTCAGTATTTTTCTGCATACTAGTAATATCCATAAGATGGAAAGACTGACATCGCTGACCTGTAACCAGTGCTATTAACATAACTAGCTTATGGGTAAGCTCTTTAAGGCTTATGCTTTCCAGCGGTGGAAATGTTTGAAGGTATGTCAAAACGCTTGTGGGATCCCAGACCGACTGGTATCTAGGTATACTAGGCCTATTGTTAAATACAGCCAAAAAAAAAAACGGTTAACTAATGGGTGAGAACCCACAGTTTTGTTATCATCTAGGTGGATAACAGATGATAGAGCACAACGAGCAGTATTCAGGCTACTGTAGCCGAGTCCACTATCAAACAGTTCAGTTAAGAAATCTATGACTTCTGATATAGCTGGTTGAATGGGATCAGTATTCCGTCCACTGCTGAATGTGGTCCACCGCTGTAAGTATGTTCGGTACTGTTTCTGGGTTCCTTCCCTCCAGGACTGCAGAATGAGCTCTTGAGCCCTCGCTGAAATGCCTTTATTTTGGAGACTTTCCTGATAAGTGACATGCCATCAGCAGCAGTTTTGCCCCCAATGGGTGTTCTTTCCCTGGGTTGAAGGGAGGTGTACGATGTTGGGACGATTGGGGAGTAGCACTGGGGTCTGCACCAGAAGTCTTGTTAATTTGGGAAACCAGGACTGTGTTGGCCAATGAGGGGCTATCATGATTGCTTCTGCTTGATCCTCCTCCACCTTTTGTAGAACTTGTGAAATTAAACTGAAGGGAGGAAAAACATAGTTATATTGTGTTCCCCAGTCTAATGTAAAAGCATCTACTCCAACAGCATTAGGATCAGGGATCCATGAAACATAACGAGACAGTTGATGGTTAAGTCTGGATGCGAATAAATCAAGGTCAGGTTTGCCAAATAAGGAAAAAATTTCTGACACCACTGGTTGGTCCAGTTTCCATTCTGTTTTGTCATTAAAAACCCGGGAAGCAGAGTCTGCTTCGATATTCTCGACCCCAGGGATATGTGCAGGTGTGATCCAGATATCTCTGTCCTTGCACCAAAGCCATATGTCTCTGGAGATATCATTACAAGGGATAGAATGGGATCCCCCCATGTTCCTCAGATATGATACAGTGGTGGTATTATCAGACAGAACTTTAATGTGGCAGTGATGTTCTGAAGGGCATAAAGCCTTGAGGCCCCAAAAAACAGCGAGGAGCTCTAGGGCATTAATATGCAGTTGAGCTTCTTCCGGGACCACCTGCCACCTGTGGAAATCCCATCTGAAAAGGCTCCCCACCCTTGGGTAGAGGCATCTGTTTTGAGTTCTCTTGTGATTTTCCCATGACTAATCTTCCTTTTGCATGTTTTGGCATGGTTCATCCACCAGACTATGTCATTTTTTGCTGTTTCAGACAACATCATAGGACTTTCAAAATTCCAGTTGGAATTTTTTAGAGCAGTTGATTTTTCAATCTCAAGTTGTCTGTAAAAAGTCTAGCATACTCTACACCAGGGAAAAAGATACCATAATGCCCACTAAACGAGCAACCAGTCTAACAGGAACAGATGTAGATTGCAATACCTGATGTGCTGAGGCAAGTAGCTTGCCAAAATTGTGATCTGTTATGCTAACAGACATGTCTAAGGAATTTAAAATAAAACCCAGATGTTCAAGGATCTGTGTAGGTTGGACAACTGATTTAGCCAAATTAGGGCAGAAACCCAAGTCCCTAAAAAGGGTTAAGGTATCCTGGACATTGGATGAGCAGGCCACACTAGTGTCTCCTTCTAAAAAGGAGTCGTCTAAATACCCACTAGAAACATGTCCTTTGAGTCGGAGGTATGCATACACAGGTTTGAGTAATTTGGTGAACACTCTGGGAGCACAGGCAAGGCCCCCTGCGCAAGGCAAGTAAACTGATAAAGCTTTCCTTTCCATAAAAACTTAAGATATTTTTGATGTGACCGGTCAACAGGTACAGAAAAATAAGCATCTGAAAGATCAATAGATGCCATAAAACACCCAGGTTTCATCAAAGTAACACAGGTTTCAATATTATCCATCTTAAAATGATGGTAAGCAATAAAGCGATTGAATTCTTTCAAATTCAGAATCATTCTGAAACTCCCATTTTTCTTAGCTCGGAGAAAAACGGGGGATATGAATTCGGTGGATTCATGTTGGGCCTCAACAATGATACCCCTAGACAAAAAATTTTGAATCTGCTGATCTAAGGCCACTGCTGCCTCAGTATACAGAATGGTAGGTCTAACTCTACCTAGTTGAACAGGCTGTATGTCATAAAACTCAAGTTTGTAGCCCTGTACGATGGACAGAATAGTTCTGTCAGAGGTAATTTCTTGCCACTTGGCCAGAAAATTCTTAATTCTTCCACCAGTAATAAGGGTGGGTACAGAGCTTACCTTAGGTTGAGTCATGACTGTTTCACAGTCTGTTTCATTGTTTTCGTCTCGGTTTTGCGAGGTTCCTTCCTGTATGAGGGGTGATTGCTCCTCTGATAGCCTCTGCCATGGTTGCTGTACTGGTTGAAGGGGCGCTGGTTGCGCCCCCTTGGCCAAAAAAAAGACCGTGATGGCCCTTTATACTTCTGAGAACTTGGCTTGTTGGATCTTGTAAGCTGTTTGGCTGCTTTGTTACTCTCGGTAACTGTTTTCAGCCGTTCGCTAGGTCGTCACCAAACAGTTCACTTCCAATTGGGTGCTTGTTATTACACAAGGCCTTGTAGCTGTCATCTAAATCTGTTTTGAACAAGTCACGGCGGCAAATATTCAAGCTGTGGTTAGCCGCCGCTACAAGAAGAAGGGAATTGATAGAGCTTCCCATAGGGTCTCTTTGGTTGGCATTGCAGCGCCTGAATCCAAAGATTCACCCACTTTTCCTGTCATGTCTGCAAGAGGAATAAGCCCTTTAATCAGGGTGTCTTGCAAAGCTTGAAGTCTAGCATCCATGCTTCGTGTTGGCTTTTTAGCGATGTCCCAAATCTCGGAATTGACACGAGTTTGGGCAAGTAATGTGCTGTTTGTGGGCCTATGAATGTTCTCTTTTCGCCGCTTAGTGGCTTGATCATTAAGACCACTGGCGAGGATGTTGTTAAGAACGTTTGCGATTTTTTCGAAATCGCTGGCCCGTGACTTCGTCCTCGGTCACCGGTGACAAGTGAATCCACTTTGCCAGTAGTATCTGTCGTTTTGGAGCGGGGTTGTTCGTCCGGTTGTGGCGTGATTCTGGGTCGCTTTGGCGGAGGCCCTTCCTCATTCTCGCTTTCAGCCAACGAAGGAGCGTCGACATCATCCACATCTTGCAATAGCCAGGCATCGTGAGACTCTTGTAAAGTTTTGACAACGGGCACCATGTCTTGCACGAGGCTTGTCAATAGGTCGAGTTTGTGGAGAAGCCTAGCTTCTCCCTCGCCTTCAGCAGAGTCAGCAGCCTGACTCGTGTTTGCGGCAGATGTGGATTGTTGTTTTGGAGATCGAGACGATCCTGTAAGCGTAGTTCCTTTGCTTGTCAAATTCGGCGAATTTGACTCGGTCAGTGACTCCTTGGTCACATCAAGGATTTCATCAAGTACGCCGGAACCCGGCGTAGGCATTTTTAGTGAATGAAAAAACACGGCAGTTATAAACTTTGCTTCGCAAAGATTGCCGATGTATGATAAATAAGAAATATAACTTTACGATGGTGAAGATAGACACCGGATTGTGATGTGCTAACAGACCAGCCTTGCCAAAATGGCGACGCAAGCACAAAATTGACCAGCTATGCGCATGCGCTATCTCATGGAATCTCTGCTGCGATGACCTGGTAGAATGTAGTTCTCGAAGGTCTGCTTCCCTGAGGCGATAAATCACTGCTCTCAGCTAGATTATATTGCATCCTCAATTTGCTTGGTTTCGTCAGCCATTTCCTTCAGGATTTAAATTACATTGGGGTCACCAAATGTTACGCTGTCTTCATTCTCCTTTAACTTTATTTGTTGATTGAATAGAATCCGTACAGTAACTATTTACTATTCCTTATTTATTATACATTATGTATTCACACTGTTTGAACCTTGTGGAGCTGCATTTAACACAACTTCAAACATAGATTTGAGGAAAAATAGCTTAAACGAGTATTTTAAAACCATTTTGCATTGTTTCCATGTTTATTCACTCTCGGGCTTTATATAGGCCACTCGATGAACAAACTGGTCTTCTTGTTCGCTGTTCTCGCTAAATAATTACTGATACTCATAAAATTCTATTGTTCTATGTCTGTATTAAATCAACAACAGATGTCAGAACAACTGTCTAAGGAAAACAGGGGCGGTCCTTTTTGTCAGCAGGGAAATTATCAGGGGTAATATATACTAAACACGCTAAATAAAACAGGGTGCAATACCGTAAAATTCCGAAAATAAGCCCCTCCAAATAGAAGCCCCCCAAAATCGTAATGCAAAAAACCTTCCATCAAATCGCCCCCCGAATATAAGCCCCTCCGGAGGGCTTGTACTTGGAATTTGCCCTCAAATACAAAGTAAAACAAAGCAAAAATGGTAAATTTCCTTGCCACTACAAGCTACAATCTTGGACAAAACTGTTGAGAAAATTGCCTTCTTGGGGGTCATTTTTTCTAAACTTTGTAGCCGACCCATTCTTCCCTACCCCTCTCCCCCTGGAAGCAGTGTTGTTGGGTCTTCAAAAGAAAGCCGGATCCCTAAGCATTTGTAGGAAGCAACTTTGAACTAGCGGAGGGGGTTTTCTTTACGCAAAGCCGTTGATTTAGAAATAGTTTTGTTGCCTTAGGTAGTGCACATTAATGAAAACATTTTCTCAAGTAGTTTTGTCCAGGATTGTATTTGACTGGAAAAGTCGATTTTGAGCATTTAACACGGGCACATAAATCTGTTCTTTATTTTTTTTGTACATTTCACAGAAAAGTAGATAATTAATGGAAAATAAGTGACAACAGAGGAGGCGATGACAAGAAAATCAGCTTTGATGTCTTTCTTGATTCAAGTAACCAATCGTGAACGTCTGTGAATTTCATTTTCCACGCAGGGTTTTTACGCGCGCTTTGAGTGCAGCGGAGCAGGCATACATTACGGTTTTGGCGGACGAGAAGGACGTCTCCGTCAAGGAGATTTGCCAGAAAACGGGAATTTCACCTGCTACGATTCGACCAACAAATAACACATGAAACTTTTGCGGACATTTCAGAGCGCGTGACCCATACTTTGAACAATTTTCCCATCGGCGAAATAGATAAAACAATCAAAGTCAATGAACAAGCGCTCGCCATTAATAACAGCATCAAATGGGGAGGGGATGAAATATTAACAAAACTTGTATTTCTGCTTTCCAAATTTGAAAGCTTACTTTTGACACTGTAGCGATGTGCAGTGCAAAAAATCACACTATGAAATCTAGAAATGTCACGCGCAGTAACATGACAAGATGTACTATCATGTGACCTGTAAGAGTGCATGTTTTGCCCTCGGGCTATTTATAGCTTACATATGACTGGAAGAAATTATGAGATAAATTCATCATTTGTAAAGCAAGAGATAGTAAAAATTGCCATAGTTGTCTTCTAATCTCTTTCTCTCCACAATATCTAAGATTCGGAACGATTAACAGGACATTTTTAGGGTGCTACCAAGATTCGCAACGGTTAACAACAATTCACAAGGACGCTTCAAAAGAATCAGAAGGTCATTTACTTTTAAAAACGAAATGGTGTTAACCGTTTCAATGCTTTGTTAATCGTAACATTATTCTATCCATGGAATTATTATAAAAAGTTAACCGATTTGTAGCAAACGAGGTTTCTGTAACCCTCATAGTTTAGCGAATTTTAAGATCTGAGAAGCAGTTTCCATGTGACGGGATACGTTTCCATATTGGCTTCACTATACGTCACTAAATAAACACTACGAACTTCTTCTCTTCTAAGAAAACCGTCATCCAAGTCTTTTCCTGACTCTTCTGAAAACTATAAATCACTTCCCACACTTTCCAAGCCTGCCAGGTTTGAACAACACGAAAACATGTAACAGTGAGCACGCGTTCTACGGCTATTGCAAAATCTTACTGTTTTAAGAGGGTGCAGCCAAAAACGTGTATGAGGTGGTACTTTTCTATGAGAAGATGGTGTGCCGTGAAACTTTGTGCTTAAAGGAGCTTCTGTAAAGTGCTTTTTATTGATAGGTTTCCGTTTTGTCCATGTTAATATTCTTGCTAAAAAACGTGAATCACCTTATATACAATCTTGGACAAAACTGTTGAGAAAATTGACTTCTTGGGGGTCATTTTTTCTAAACTTCGTAGCCGACCCATTCTTCCCTACCCCTCTCCCCCTGGAAGCAGTGTTGTTGGGTCTTCAAAAGAAAGCCGGATCCCTAAGCATTTGTAGGAAGCAACTTTGAACTGGGGGAGGGGGTTTTCTTTACGCAAAGCTGTTGATTTAGAAATAGTTTTGTTGCGTTAGGTAGTGCACATTAATGAAAACATTTTCTCAAGTAGTTTTGTCCAGGATTGTACCCAATCAATTTTGAAATGCAAATTTCCCTCTGTACATAAGCCCCTCTGAATATAGGCCCCTCCAAAAACAAGCGCCTCAAAAAGGGCCATTGAAAAATGTAAGGCCCGGGGCTTATTTTCAAAATTTTACGGTATTTTTAATATTGCAGCCTGCATGCTGTAATATTGCATTATCCTGTTTTAGCAAATTTAATGTGTACAGGACATTATACCTGATAATTTATGGCGTTGTCAACAGCACCTTTTGGGTCTATCTCTCGTTCATTTCAACTCAACTTTTTGTTTCAAAGTGCCACTTTAATTACCTAAAACTTTCAAACACTGAAAATAAATGGAATCATGGAGACTGATAGTATGGATTGCAGTCCGCCTTTAGAGGTAGATATAGAATTGAAGCACTGCCAGAAATGGCTAAACGTTACACACGCTTACCTTTGATTTCTGCTGAAATATCAGTGTTTGTAGAGCTCCGTATGATAAACAATGCCTCCTCTTCCGAAGAATCCATTGTCCTTCAAAACTGAGATTTGCAGTTAGTAGAATGACTGAATTCTCTGGGTTACAAAGTATGCAAATTTGTAGTGTTACACGCCTTGCACGTGTTAATTTCATTGTTAGAATTGTTTTGAAGAACTATGACAATGAACTAGCAACTCCCGGCTTTACTAAAATCGAAGATTCATTACAAAGAAGGAACAATAGGATTTGATGAGCATCACAATTATCACGCATACGTGTGACTAAAATCGAAGATCCAACACAGACAAGCAATGATTGGATTTCATAAGGATCATTAATTATAATTCGACCAAAGCTGGCTGCAATATTTCCTATAATGCCATATGCTGCAGTAATTATCCATTAAGGTCAGTTGGGCCGCCGTTCTTTCAGTGTTAAATCTTCCACCACAAGGATTTCCAGCCACTTGCCCAGTCGGGCACTGTTGTGTTGTAGCCCGCTGTTATTTGCCTTAGAAATACTTTGCAATTCGCCACATACAGTAAAACAGAGAATGAATAAAATGAGCTGTAGTCTTTGGCCATGTTGCCTGGTCATTTACTTCAACTACTGTCTGATATTTGGACAAACGATTTTTCAAGTCTTGTCCATGGTGCGATCTAGATGTGAGTTGCATGTGTAAGGCAGCCGGGGTTTCACAAACTGCCAGACGATGCTACCAGGTCTTCCAAATTGTTATGGAAGGAAGTTAGGGGGTGATCAAAGTCTAAATTAAGTGAGAAGTGAGAATTCAAAACTTAATTTTCGCGGCTTAGACATTGATATTTGTTTTAGACCTTTCAATTTGGGCAGTAACTTTTGTCATTGACTTTCTATTTCCTAAATTTACAGTTTTTTTTAATTTGACTTTTTACTTGAAAGATCAAGTTTTAGTTTTTACTTTTCGCGTTCAATGCCGGGCAACCCTCGGCCATGGTACGTAATACCATTTTCACCAAAATTGATTTCAGTTATCCCACATTCAAGACCCATTTCTGTAGCAAATTTTGCCAACTGTTGTTTTGTTTCTGGTGTGTTGAACTTTGGCAAACTCTTTCCCCATCTTTGTGTTGCAAGTATACCAATCCTTTTTCTCCTGAATTTGTTAATAAAACAGGGTTTGTACGCTTTTGAGTTTGTTAAATTCCATGACTTTCTGTGACTTGTTTAATGACCTTTTACAGTTTTCCATGACCTTTAATTTAGCTGTCCCTTTCCAAATTTTAAAAACCATCCATGTTTTTTGGGTATTTCCTGGCATACTCAGGGTTAGAGAAACACATTGTGTCAAACTGTTTTATTTCGTGGAAACATTTACAAATATTTCTGTTTTGACAGAGTCCATTTCAGGAATGATGTTTTATTTTAACTTGCACTTTTCTTGGAGAGCTCTCTAAGTTCAATTTTAACTTTTTTCAAAGCTTTTACTTTGTCTTCAGCAGATTTTCGCGTCGCATTTTACTTGGTAAGGAGAAGGAAGTTGCCCTTCTTTTCAGCTTCCATTAAAAGTTTGTTTGCATCATACTAAAGGGCGGCAATTTCACTTAAAAGGGGCCTTTTCTTGTTCTCCATCTCTGCACAATCATTCTGAATTGCTTTGCACTTCCTGGTTTGAGCTTCCTTCTGTTTCTCTTGCTACTGCTGCTTAAGATAGGCAGCATACCGTTGTCTCCCTGTACTACACTACTAGGAGAATGTATGTGAAACATCATGTGAAAAAAACATGTGAAAATTGTCCAATTTTCACACTCTTTTCACACGTTTTTCACACACTTTTCACATGAATTTCATACACATATTTCACATGCATGTGAAATTTTGCTTAGTGAAATATACGTTAAATGGGTGTGAAACGATGTTAACCCTTTCACACATATTTTCACATACAGTTCACATGGGGTATCACACAGGCTTTCACATGTAACACCTCATTGAATGGCAAAAGAATTTCACATGGTACTTACATGTAAGTTCACACATATTTTCACATACACTTCAAATGGGGTTTCACATGTTCTTTCACATGCATTTGTATGCTGTTGCATGGTTTCAAAAATCAACAACAGAAACACGCTTTGAAACAGTGTTTTGAAGAAACGCAAGTCAACAACACACCTTTTCGTGTAGCTGTCCCTTTCACTGTCCTTTATACTGTTGATATCTGGTTGATATGAATTTTTAGGAATTTTATATTTGCACTATTTCCTATTTTTCCAACAGGTCCTGTCCACACGCCATGCAAGATGAAATTATTGTTATCTGATTTATCCGTGTAAAATTTCTGAGAATAATTAAGTGTAGTGTTATGTGTTTAAAGATATCTAGACAAACTGCGAGAATGCTGACATCTTTCCCTTCCGTCTCTTAGTCTGGCGATGGAGAGACGCCTGGGGACGAGTCAGCTCTGAATGGTGGGTGATGTAATTATACTGAACTGTAATAAAATAAACCAGAAACAACGTGGATAGGCTTCAGCAATCACTTTATTACTTGTTTGTCACAACAAAGGTGCACAAAGTAAACAGGGCAAAAAATGAGTATAGTTCACTGCAGGCTTAATTGTCCTGGTGTATATTGGTTATTCTTTGCCATTCGGCGACGGTTCTGAAACCAATTGTCTACCTATAGAATAAAGCAGAATAAAGTAAAATGTTAAAGTATATCATTCATGGGTTAATTTACGGTTTTTCAGTCTACATTTTCACACCTCATTGCACTATGCGTTGTAAATTTGCGCGAGCCTTCTAGCCACCAGACCCTTTTGGGGACCTTCTTTTTCAAGGCGTTTAAACTGCCATTTTTATGTTACAGTTCAATATACAGTTTGAAAGGCAAATCATAACTAATGTTAGTGTTTTAAGATGATTTTTAATGTTTTTAATATGACGCCAGCATTACATTGGATGGTATTCAATTTTAAACCAACGACCATTAAGCTTCTTTGATCACAGTTTCATCACAATTCATCAATTTGATGCCTAATTGAAAATTGATATTGTCATAAAATCGTATGCCCATGTTCTCCACGATGTATCAATCACCGTTGTGAAAAAAATTAAAGTTTTATCGCAGTTTTCATCATTAAAATGCATAAAGAGACTGTGTTTTTGGAAATCTTGACTGAAAATAAAACGCATAAAAAATGAAAACCAATCGATGACAATTAACTGATCAATTTGTATTGATAATCGATAAGAATTGATAATCGATGAAATCGATAATCACATAAAACCCGAGCATCGATTGTTCATCGATTGATCGATTGATTTTCCTATCATCGGTTTCATCGATTGGTAACGCCCTGCACAAAGTTATTAGAAAACCAAAGTAATTAAGGTTATAAACGAACCACGACATCAAGAAGACAGAAGAACGTACCTTTCGGCTATAATCCAGCTGAGTTGCTGACTTGGAAACATCCTTTATGTGAAGAATTTCGCAATTGATTACTTTCTTTTGAAAATAACATGGGTATTAACAGAAATACAGTCTTGCGGCTAAACTTCAGAATACCCGGCCACTGAAATATCATTCATCAAATCCTGCTACCGCAGTCCCGCAGTCCCGCAGTCGACATACTTTACTTAATATCTGTATATAAACATCACGAAATATGCCGCTTGCATCGTGCACGTTGGTGTTGACCTTGTTGGTCCTTGCTACCACAGTCCCCAGTCGAAATAATTTACATACATGTATGATCACAAAATACACGTTAATTGAACTTGATGAGTGAAATAAAAGCAAAATAAACGTGACATGAACTTGATGAGTGAAGTCAAACTTTTGTACTTATGTATTACACGTTCTTAAAGTGTGTTGTGCGAAAGACAATTTCAATAAATGTGTCTATTCCCGTTCTTGTCCACCAAGCTGTCGAGCCAGTAAATTACATCCCTACTCTACTATAAATAGTTACCTAGGCCGACTGAGGAGCCTCCAAGCCCTCGAACCACTAAACTGTATATCTTGCTCGTTCATTTGCTCGCGCTACACATGAATATACCTTCGTTCTTTTATGCATGAGCCAAAAGTAGCGCTCTACACGTGAACATAACTCGTTCTTTCATCCCTGAGCCGAAACAAACACGCTACACTTGCTCCTCTCTTTTTCTCAGTCGCAAATAACAGAGTGCACAAATCGTATGAACAACAAATATACCTCTGCCTTGTGTCTTTAACCGTTAACTTGCTTTCTGCATTCCCACTTCAAACCATCCGATCGATCCTCGTATCTCGTCAAACTCATTTCTCCAGCACACATCGGACACGAACATTCCTTCGCCATCAGCCCTTCATCCATTAACCAGTGTACCAAAATTTCTTTGTCCTGCATTTGCACTACCAGGTTGTCGTATCGCCACTTGCGGGAGTGCGGACCGCGGTAGCACTTCAGTTTAACACTTAGTGTTTAATACTTAGTCATCGACTGCGGGAGTGCGGACTGCGGTAGCACTTCAGTTTAACACTGAGTTTAATACTTATTCATTGACTGCGGGAGTGTGGACCGCGGTAGCACTTCAGTTCGACACTTAGTTTAATACTTATTCATCTACTGCGGGAGTGTGGACCGCGGTAGCTCTTGAGTTTGACACTTACCGGTAGTTTAATACTTATTCATCTACTGCGGACCGCGGTAGTACTTCAATTTGACACTTAGTAAATACACATTGACTTGCTAGCCGACTACAGACCGTGGACTACGGGAGCAGTATATCCGAAAATAACGAAAATACTCTGTTTGCAACGCTGTGTTGCTTGTGAAGTCTGCGTGAATTTGAAGTATTCAATGGCAGTTCATTTTACACTTTTCTATTGCTTCAAAAGCCGCATGTGACATCCTAAATCAAATTGCGCATGTGCCACAGTCACGGCGAAGTCTGGGAAACAACAAACACGGCGGCTAATCTTGCAGAATGGCCGGCCCGTTTGAGTGGAGAAAGTGGTGATTTTCAACGTTGATAAGAATATTCCAACGTATTTGAAGAGTTAGAAGCAAGAGGAAAACTTAACATTATTCTTCCAAGTTTTTTGAGGATTTAAGAAAATGCTGGACTATGTTATGAATCAAAGCTGCGACTAAATGCATGTTGTAGACGTTGTTCATTTAGCACAAGCTCAGGTACGGAAAGGTGATTGAACCAAACACACCTTGAACACACCAAGAGCATGCCAGTTGTTTGTTTCAAGGAATCATTTATGAGCTGAACGAACTGTATCAAAAGGAAACTCAAAAAGCGTGCAAAGCAAGGAACTGTTCGCATGTTCAAGTGGACTTTCGACCTTACAACGAGCACATTACAGTAAGAAACAAAACATTCATTCAGTGTAGTTACATATGTCGTAGTATAGAAATTTGGGATCGATAAAGGATTATTAATATTAGATTAATTTGGATAGCAAAGTAAGTTTTTTGATGGAGTAATAAAATTAAAGCCGTTTTGTCTTCAGTGAGGATCTGTTGAAAGAATGGTTTAATTCTTACAATTTAGCCCTCCCACTTAACAAAAATCTACTGCAGGTACACATCTTTCTGGGTGGAAACCAATTGTTGAGATACTCAACCCACATATTTAAATGAGAAAGTTGATTAAATAGATAAATTTATATCGAATGCTCTAGCCAACAATGAAGACAATAATGATATTTGTAAAGATGTACATGAAATTTAATTTTGCAGTTTTCATGGGGTATTAACTCGAAATTTATGGCATTTTCATGAAAATGTGGCTCATAGTGGTTGCATTTAATGAGCCCTGGAAAAATTTCACCCGCTCACTCCTACATGCCTAGAAGTGTTCACATGCGTGAGCAAAATTTCAGATCTGTAGCATCTATTATGCATGTGAACTTCAAATTTTACATTCATGACAAAATTGTTTCACGTAAGTGAAAAGATTTCACGTGAGATAAAATGCATGTTAAAAAGTTCACACGTATGACAAAAATCTTTCACATGCATGTGAAATGCTGATGTGGTGAACTTGTATTTTTGCCAACATTGATTTCACATGGTTCCTTTTTCTCACACACTTTTCACACCCTTTTCACATGATTTTCACACACATAGTCCTAGTAGTGAGCTAGCTGCTGCAAGAAGTTCTCTGATAATTACCAGCTTGCTTAAGCCTCCAGTATTAAGGATGTGGTCATGAATTGTACGCTGGCCAATGAAAGTCTGTTCTTTCATATTGTCCATCATCACTTGGCGGATTACAGAAAAGCCTCTCTCCACACTCGCCTGTCAATCACAGAGTCAAGAGTTTCCTCACCAGCTCGCACGACTTAGAAAGTGAACTCACACAGCCCATATGGTGCTCCAGAAAAACATCCAGTCTGTCTTCACGTTAAACTACTCAAAGGCAGCCTCAACAGCTCTGTCCACCAACTCAGATTACTCCAAAGTTAAGGAGTAAAATTTCGCATGGTCAGTCTCTTGAATTCAACTGATTTCTTCATAACCAATTTGAATTTTGTGGAACATGCCTCTTTGTCTTGTACAATCAAGTTGGGGTCCTGACACATCATCAGATTTCGTGCCATAGAGTAGGCTATAGGTGTCTTTTCAACCAGTTTGCAGACAACTGTGCTTAAGGTCATTCCTTAGCAAAGGAACCTAGTTAACATAGATTGTGGATGGAACTTGGTACACTGATGTAACAAGTCAAGAAGTGGATGAAAAAGTAATAGAAAGTTGGGATCACCGTGCTCATTTTTCTGTCTCAATGCTTACAAATACGGCTTTTTAGGACCCTTTGACAAAAACTGCTTGCAGCCCAAAACTGGACAAAAAGGTGAGATTTTTTCGGTGATAGATGTGGTATTGCACAGAATTTGACTTAAATGTATTGTTTATCCACTTACATACCAGAAAAATGCCTTTTAATGCCCTTGTTTTAACTTAACGCTCCAAAATCTGTACAATTTAGTAAAATTGCCAAAAAACTGAACATAGATTTACGCCAATTTTTTCCTCATTGAAAGGAAGCTCTGTTTTTATTAAAATCATGAAATAAAAAATAAAGGTCACCGTACTTGTTTTTGCAGTAGAGCTGCAGAAAGTGTAGCCTCCCCTGCAGGCTTTGTCGTGCGTTCCTGCCTCACAAACATCTGCTGATCTGAGCAGGAAATTCCTTTCCCATTGTTCGCAAATATCAGTTGGAGAGCACGTGCAAATTATCACAGAACCAGTTGGTGCTAAGTTATTATTTAGTGAAAAGCCAATTATAAGGTGTTTTAGAACAGGCCATCCGGTGGGGATTTAATTTCCCACGAGTTTATTCTGCCGCTAAATATTTTTATGTATGCAAAGTTATTCCAAATCCTTGCTTCATGTATGGCCGAAACACCGAAAAAAGTCATGGGCAATAACTGTTTTCTCTGTAGTAGTCATTTGATTTCTTCTGGCAGAGTATGTGTCTTTGGAAAGAGTTCTGTCTGCATCTCAGGCGTCATCAAAGAAGCCATGGAAATTGATGTAAGTTTGTTTTCGTCGAGTGACCCGTTTGTATGCAGTAACTGTTATAAATACTTGACTCGATTTCAAAAAATTAAGAAAAACCTGCAATCAGTTGAGAAAGAGATAAAAAGAAGATTACAAGAAAGGGGCATTCAGAACGTAATGTCTTTGCCAAGATTCTGCTGAATCAGACTTTTCGATTGCTGCTTCAATCGAAAATACAGTTGTGCAATGGAGTGCTGCAAAATCATTGAAGTGTTAAAATTTTCCTACCACTTATACTTCTCCTGGAAAAAGATGGTGAAAGGTCATCTGAAGGAAGTGCTGGTCATTCCAGTCAAAGGGAAAGTATCTTTTCAGTCATGTAGGAAATTCCTGAAACTCCGTCAAATGGTTTGTTTACCTCGCCTCCTCCTCCTTCACTTCAGTTGACGTCCACGCCAGTGAGAGCCAACTCGAGCTTACATTCATCTCTACAAGTGGAGCCATACGGAAGTTCAGCAGTAAAACTGGCAATCTTTTATTCTAGTGAAATGGTCAACAAATGTTCAGTGTCAGAATATGAGGCGATTGGAAAAGCCGTTATTTATGGCCTACCACAAAGGATCGCCAATGCTGTTGTAAAATCCTAATTGTTAACTAAGCACATGGTTCAGGGTGTCCTTCGACTATTGTCGAGTGAAGTTTGTGGTTTATGGTCCAGATCAAACCCGTCCCTTTCACGAAAATGCCACAGGGAAAGCCTTGTAAATTTTAGCTTTCAATCGGTTTGTGAGGGGTAGAAAATCAGAGTGCCAATCCTTTATTTTCTTGATGACCTGCAGCAGTGTTCAACTTACAAGTGAAGAAGTGTGGCAATAGCAGGATCTATAGTATTGCTTGAGCGTTGAAATCGTCACATGAATGCCACTGCCAGTGTACTTGGAGTCCTCCTTAAAACAGGATTAATGAAGGTATGAATGACTATTTCAATTTGAACAGTATACATAGGTCAGGAAGGAAGACAAGAGTTCTAGGCTTAAGTAACAATAATTATTTTCTTTTAAACTGAAACGTAACCAGGAATTGGTTTATTGTGCGACCTAGTTCTTTTCTAAATATTTTAAACAATTTTTCCAGATAAGTAACTTTTCACATGAAGGTTTTCACAATAACATGCAAATCGACTATTTACATGTTTTTGTGTGACATGACAAAGGATAAAGAAGCTTGAATTGGGATAGAAGGAAATATACAACATAAATATCAGATGTATGATTAAGCGCTCTGCTATGTATGAAACGATAGTTAATTGAAACGGGGATGACATGTGGATCCCACTGTAGACAACTAGGGTGATCTGGGAGTTACTAAAGAATTTAAATAGTCAATCAAAATCCATGCCCTTCTCCTAATTCCGATTTTGGGAAAGAGGGTGAGTTGGGTTGGGTACAAAAAAATTCTTTTTTGTATTAGAATTTTCAAAAAAGTGCCTGTTGTGTGGGAAGTAAGAGAATTTATTTTAGTGGTCCCTTTTAGTGATAAATCATGCGAAGTTAGAAATCTACGCAAAGTAAGCTTCAAGGTTAGGAGGGTCCACATTAGAAAACTTAGATGCAGGATTTCCATAGAGGCAAGTTAAAGCATTTCTCATGAGTGCACATACTATATACTGCTTCCCCACAGCAGTCATTCCAATCTTCAAAATTTTTTTTGGAGTAAATAAACTTGAAATAATTAGCTATGCCCCAAACACCCATTCGACTGATATATGAAGTCTACTCCCGGCAGTGTTGAAAGCTATCATGTCTGGCGTCAATGGTCTTGTATAATCTCCCTCTCTGAACAGACACATGAGTTTGGTCTCAGGGGGTACTCTGGGTCACCATAGATGCAGAGTTGGTGTCCAGCAGAGATATGGCAATGAGGCCGTAGCAAAGTTAACAGGCCAGACTTATCTAAACCATTAGGTACGACTAATGACTGAAATTTCAATGCATGGACACGCTTGTGGCCATTGTATACTAAACGCTGATTTTCGTCAGGTCTTGAAATAGGTCTTACTGTGCCGTCCACAAAACCAAAACAGTTAGGCAGAGGCGAACCCATACAACGTATAGTTTGAGCGTACTGTTCAAGACATGCAGGAGTAAGAAACTGCTGTTTTCAAAATGTAAGTCGATGGCAATGGTTGTCAAAAACCCAGTCTAACACAACGTTGTGAAGCGTGCAAAAGTCTGGAACAGGACGTGCAAATCGATAAACCATGTCATAGAGCTTGCAGGGGTACGCTAATCGTTCCAGGAGGATGCAGAGTCCTTCCAATCCACTACAAACTGTTCCTTGGGCACATCTGAAACGTCTCGGGACTTGTAAAGCCTCTGCTTAACGTAGAAGATCTTCTTTGCTCACTCTGAGCAAAACATTCGTCCGAACTCAATGAATTGAGACAAAAATCTTTGTTTTCCCAGTACGGATAGGCAGCATTCTTTGATTGATATGCATTGTACAATGGCACAAACTCTTCATAATCAATTACTTTATCTGCCAAACAACATATAAGGGAATCTCTAATTTTTTGGAAAGACATATTGAATCCAAACTTAGCAAAATGGACACTGCTGCTTTTACCGTGGTTTGCACTATGTAGTCGATCACCTTAACTTCGTTTTTTTGCATCGTATGGTCAGTACTCGACCCAGTACTCCAGAAATGGGCAGCACATGTCCAACCGTACTCAGTGGTACGTAGTCGCCATATCTTTAAGTCATTAGGGACTTTAAGATCTGGGACGCGTCGACTTCTAGAACGTGGTGGCTGATAAAGGACTGGAACAGTAAAACGCCGTCGTTTGTGCGCGAAAAGTAAAGTTAAGATCTCCGTCGCGATGCAACACGACGCGGCTGCAAACTGCTCTTTATCAGTGTGATTCTTCGGCAATTCTTTTGCAGAAATAGCCATGGCATCATTTAAGAAAGGCCAAGAAATGCTTTGTTTGTGCTTTGTTTAATAGCATCACCTCCACTTCTTCGTTGACGCTTCGGTTTGTCATTGCTTTCATCCGCTGATGAACCTCTTTTCTTCGTCTCTGACAGCTTCTCCATGGCTTTTAGTCTAACATCTTCCGCTTTAGACCGAACGTATTGACGTTTTTTGCTAGCTGTTCTCTGTGTTTCCTGTAATTCTGCTTCGCCACTTTCCTCCAACGCGATGATCATATCCAATAGGTTTTCTAGTTCCGTTGGCTCATCGGGAGTTATCCCAGTTGCTTTTTCCTGCTCTAGAAGTTTCTTCTTATGCTTGTAAACAAGGATTCCCACGGGGTCTCGGACTGATGATGATGATGATGAAACCTTTATTCAAGTGTCATAAAATTCTAGTACATTACAGTACTAATTGGGGACACTAAATCAAAAGCTAATTAAAATAAAGTAAAATTATCATAATTAAGACTTAAGAATCTAAAATTCCTAAAAATATGTACAATTTATATCAAATTAATCATATAGAATTTAAGAACATTTATCGTGAAAATTTACATATCATATTAGGTATTACATAAATAGCAAGAGGCACAGCTACTGTTGTCCAATGCGGAGATATCTCTACAGTTTACCATTCGTTTGAAGTCTTTCAGAGTTGGTGCATTTCTCTCAGAGCTGGACAACTTGGACCATAACAATGGGCCCAAGTATCTGATGGAGTGCCTTCCATACTTTACAGTATTGTATCTTGGAAGGATAAAGTCTGAGTTTCGGAGGCTGTATGGCTTTAAATCATTTCTTTTGACAATGTTTTCAAAGTAACCTGGCACTGTTTGGTGCTTAACCTTGTAAGCGCTTATCAACCGTGAATTTCGGCACAGTGCATTTGTTCAAGGTGTCTGCTATTTTTCCCCACATTCTGCTTCTTTGTGTTGACCCTTTCTTAGTTGTGTAGGGATTTACATTGACGACTTCTCTGCATAGAATGGCTTCATAATCATGAGTCCAAAACATTACTGAACTAAAGGGAAGCATAACAACACACGCAGTTTAATAAAATTAAATTAACTAATAAAGGCTTAAAATTGGCTTTTAGCGGCAGATGAACGCAATAAATCGAGAATTGCAACGGTACAAGAGACGAGAAGAGTATGCAGAAGACTCCTGCATTCACTATTTGCAGTTTTAGCTCGTGACTTGCAAGCCTCGCTCGAAGTCGAAGGCGCTGCCATTTTATAAGCTTCGTACACCTCAAAGAAATTTTAAAATAATCAAAATCCTTCCATCTCTGCGATCTAAAATGTCTCCAGAAATGACGTCCAATGATCCTAGAAGGCTGATTTTACATGTTTAGAGGAATATATCATCATTTAATTTAAGCACAGGAACAAATATACTGGCGTTTTGTACAGAACGTCAAACACGCAAAACCCACGTTCTCGACGCGACGTGGTGACACCAGGGCAACGGCTTGAGCATGCGCAACATGTCTCCTCTTTGAAAATTTACTTCCTGTCGCGTCTCGGATCTTAAAGTCCCTATTAATGTCAAATGCCTTCTTAAGATCAAGGAAAATAACACCACTGGCCACACCTCCTATCAATGTTAGACACCATTGATTTGTCATAACTAGAAATGCAGGTACAGTTGAATGAAGTGATCTAAACCCAGACTGACAAGGTTGAATAAGGTTATTTTCTGTAAGATTAGTGGACATCTGCTTATAAACTAATCGTTCAAAACTCTGGCAATAGTTGGTAAGACAGAAATTGGTCTAAAGTTATTTGGATCGTTACGTTCAGCTGATTTAAATAGTGCAAATACCTTTGCAACTTTCCAGTCATCTGGGAAAGTACTTGTAGAAATCGAAAGGTTGAACAGCTCCGTTAATGATTTACTGGAGCTGATATTTTAAAAATGTTGTTTGGGATGTTATCATGTTATCAGATATCGTGACTTCCTTGAGTTCAAACGAAGAATTAACACGCTGTTAGGAATCAGATGGATTTACATCACATTCCACCTTGGTTTTTCACATGCAAGGTTCGGACCAACGTTATTGAATATTCAAACATTTAGCGATTTTCTCAAGATCTGATAAAGACCCATATACAAAGATACCCTTTGGTGAAGATGAGACTTGGCATACACCATGTGTGAGGAAGTAAGTGGGTTTTTTACTCACTGGGGAAATTCTGTTCCACACCAGATATAGTCAGGTCGCTTAGCGTCAGTATCGTTACTGGCCGGATACAAGCACCAATTTTTGCATGCACTCTTTTGGATGTAAGAATTAAATTTAGTCGTGGATCCATCGAAAATATTTCCTCTATCTCATCAAAAAGAGTGTGGAAAAATCAGGTTAATTTGCATAAATTCAAAATGGCGGCGCTAAGTTCTAAAATTTTAAACAACTCCAAATTCGTGGCACTTGTAATGCAACCATAACAAGTGTTTATTAAAGTAATGAAAAATGATGATAGGGCTGAGTGCTGCAGTCCAATTCGTTCTTCAATCATACAAGTTTAACACATAATTACGATTAGAGACTGGCATGGACAACACGAAGTTCTTAGTTCACCAAACAATCAAAACCATAACAAAATGTTTCATAACTTTAACCTTTCCAAGCATTAGAATATAACTTCTTACGAGAGTTCTTTTGCTAGAGGTTTAAAAAGAATCTACTCAAGAACGCGTGGGCGAGATGGCGCGTACTGTTTGATTACTTATGCATGACGCTTTCTGATCTATTAAACTGTTCATTAGAGAATTTTGTTGGGTAGGCATGATTTAAATAATGAAAATATTATTAAATTAATGACAAAAAATCAATTGATGTTTTGTTCAATAAATCTTAATTCTATACAATACATCTTAATTACCCTCTTTTTACTCTGAGTTAACACTTTCTGGAAATTATATGATTGTCGTAGGTTGTTTCAATAAGGCATTCTGGTTAAACAGAATATCTTCCTACCAATTAATTGCAGGGAGTATCCAGGAACTTTCGAAAACTGGTTACTTGGGCAACTAAAGAAGAACGTTCTTAGTGCCTCCTTCCTCTTAGATCAGTTACTAAAACTACTCCTCATTTGAAAAATACGACTGGCAGTTACTGTAAATCGGTATGTACTTTAAACATCTAAAGTTTCATCTCCTTTCATCTCACTTGTCTGCAAGCGCTGCAATATGAATTGCGATTACAATTGCAAAGCGGGGAACACTTCAAGTTCGCTTTGCCACATTTACAATTGGAGCAGTCTCCTTTGCATGTACACTTGATTAGATCTTGACAAGCTTTAGAAAGCTCTGGAACAGTTGGCCAAAGTGGGTTCCACACATTGTCTACTTGTTCCCGGCCATAGTCGACTGGGGAAGGAATCATCTGTTGTGCTTCGGTGCTTGTAACCCAGATAGACTTTCCATTGTGACGTTCTTTAGACAGAACAGTTCCCTCCTTGTCTGGTTGATTGAAAGTGAAGTGCTCGTTTTGTCGTAGACGAGGACGATCAGCCGCTCAATTTTACAAAAGTTCTCACAGTTGGAATCAATGGGTTTAAAAGGATGTGAAGCTAGGTAGACAAAAGTGTCTGTAACCTCTTCAAACGCTATCCAAGCTTGCCAGAAAGACTTCTTTCCTTTTCCCCAAAAAGCAGAGGTTGTGTCGCATCCAGAAATCGCGTGCTTGTGACCTTTTTGTACCAAGGCTGGTGGACAGAGCACTGATGCTGTAAAGTCTGTAGTTCTTTCCTACTCCAAAGGGGACGCAAATATCAGCCTTGGGTTGTGACAGTAACAGCATGTGAAAGACACCAATAAGGACAACAACAACATCAGTGTCCACAGTGCGAACTTGCACAGTCGTCAATCCCTGCTGAAGTGCATGTGGCACGTGAACCACAATACTCGTGTCGGCCTCTTCATGATTGCAGTTTGGCATGGGACTGGATGAGCATACCGTTAGCACTGACTCTTCCGAAGTGGTGTAACGGCTTTTTCCTCGAGGAAGACAAAGTTTGCCATTTTATAGGTTAGAAAGTCAAACAGCTCTTTCTTGTTTGATGAATCATGCAGAAAGTCTGACCTGTTTCGTGGTAACTTGGTTTCTTCGGATACCTTTCTGCGGACCCTCTTTCCTCTCTTCTGACAAGTCGACTCCTTTAAACCTTCCTGTCTGTATGTGTCCCATACAACGTCCAACCTTTCTGTTCCTTATAGGTGACTCTGAAGATGAGGGATGAAAGCCTTCTTTGCGTATTATTTCAATGTTGTAATTCCAGTGATGGACAAGCAGTGTACGATGACAGCACCGTCCAATACTTTACAGCTGAATGTTTCAGGTGGCGTAGATTCATGTAGTGTGTCAAGGCATTTCATCAGTTCAGACTTTGTGCCCAGCAAATAAAGTTTGCCGAATTCTGACAATGAGGGAGGAAAGGATTGAACTTCATGAGAAAAGAATTCTTCCAAATCCCCTTCACGGCTCTGCATTGAGATATACAACTGACCAGAGACACATTATTTTCAAGAGCTTTAATCTTCTTTCCTTGCTTCGACTTAATCTTTGGACTCGGTTTCCTGAAGAGTGCTGGCTTGTTTAATTTAATGGGTTCATGAATAGATCGTTTTCGTTCTTCCAGTACTTCTTTGACAAAGTTACTGTATTGTCCCTTCCCTGTGTCTTCAAGCATGTACAATGCAGCTATGACTGATTGGTCAGCGCAATCTCGACTGTCTAGGGATACAAGATCTGAAAACTCGGCCAAGAAAGGGTTACCCATCTTCCTTATGATGCTACAGAGACTAGTGACCTGCCTTTGGAAGGTTTTCTGTGTTGATAGACCTTGCTCATGATTCAGAAAGTTTTGGGAATTATCTGGATCGTTATCAGAAAAGTATTCGCTCTCGAACTGCTTCCGAAGTCTTGACAGCTCTGTTCCTGACAGCATCCAGCGTCTGAAGGCAGCAGGGTTTTCTGTAAGACCATTACAACCCCCGAGCCTTTCACGTTGCGGTTTTCTTGCTCATGTGCTTGATCGAACGGAATTCCAAAGAATGTATTGTCCATTTTTTAAATAACCCAGTTGCCCTGAATCTCAAACACTTCTTTGATTGGCCGAGGCAAAGATTTCATCTCTCTTATATGAACGGGTAGCGACCTTGCGTAATTGACATGGTCCAAAACGTTCACGTACAAAGGAAAGTTTTTCTCCCTGTGAGCCTGGACAAAGATGAGAATAGGAGTTTCGTATCGCAAAATAAGGTCCCAGAACATAAATGTTGGACTTTTAGCTATCATCTGTAATCTCCAGGCTTCGGCTGTTTCTTCGTGTTCAGAACCGTGACAACTTAAGAAAGCTTCGCGTTGAAGGATATGCAAGGTTAACAGTGTGGCTTGGTGGGCGTGTCTGGTACGGGTAAGGTGAGCCGCGTTCAACATCGATTGTGCAGAAGTTACTTCAGCTTCTGATAGAGCTGATGTCCACCCAGAGCCTTCCAGTAAATCTCCAGGTACGTTCCAAAGAGCCATCTCTGTGTACAAGCCTCCCAACATGGCTACATACTGTCCTTCGCCGGGAGTGGCTGGAAACTGCCATTGGACCAGCTTTGCCAGGGCAAAGAGTGGCTGATCAAACGTAAATTTGTGGCTTGCTTCACTATATCCATACCGTGCTTATTCATTGCGGCTGTAGCAGTCTTCTCATAGAGGAGAGGTAGCATTGCACACAAGGCTGGAAGCCCATGTGTGGGCGTTTTTTTAGAGGCGTGATAAGCTGTCGATGCAATAGCGTCTCCTTTCTCTATTTCTTCTTTTTTCAAAAGTCGCGTGGAGATCTGCACCTATTCATTTTCCGCTTCTACGGCTTTATCCAGGCAGACCTTTGTTTGCTCCACCTTTACCTATGGGACAACGGTGTTAGACTTTGCCATAGCTACAGCGGGGAGAGTGGTGTAGATTTCAGGTAGCTGAACATGCTTTCCACTCACGGAGGGAGGAACCGTAACTGGCCGTCTACATTCACCCGGCTTGTTTGGGAATGGAAATTGGAACATACTAATACCAGTACCATGGAAAGAGCTTTGTGATGTAGTTGAACTGGGATTATGGTCCAGGTTGTCCAAAGCACCAATTTTACAAAACAAGTTGCACTTTTTTGTTGCCCGTTTCACTGTACTTTTAAGGAAAATGTCACTATAATTCATAATGTCTTGGACGTCTGTAGGTTTCTAAATATAAGAGCAATGTCTTTTAACTGTAAAGCTACAAGTAACAATGTATACATACCAGGTTAAGAAGCACTGCATTTGGTCCCAACATAAAAGCACCACAACAACATGGCGTTTGAAGTAGCGCCCAAGAGTTTGAACATGCTTTTGTCTTGGGAGAAATTATTCAAATTGCACGCAAAAATCCACTTGGATCCACGGAGAAAAATGTTTAATAGTAATTAAGGAAACAATCTGGTGAGTTTGATGCTTGTATCCACTGTGTAACGTTTCCGCGAAAATTTGGAGTAAGCGACCTGACTAATACCACATTTGCAGAGGACACCCTACAAACCTGTTACCAGTGCCCACGTTTGCCACAACCATGGCAGATGCCATTGGATGTGCTGTACGTCCACACCAAATACAAGAGGAGCGAGCGCTTTCAGTGGGAGGGCCCGTCATACACCAAGGCAGACAAGGAAGTAGTTTTGGCTTGCTCCCAGCTGATGTGACATCACGTGTACTGTCCTCAAGATGCTACTGTGTGATGGCAGAGTCCATTTGAATGCTGGTGTCACAATCACGAACTTTAGAGATAACTTGGGCAAACGTGAGTGACGTTAAATCTTTGTGAGAGATGATATCACAGCAAAAACGTTGAAATGCATCATTTAAGCCAATAACAAAGATGTCCCTTTGCAATCAATCATCTACTGCTGAGGGAAAATTGCACTTCTGATGTTCCAAACACCCGAGAGTGTGTCACGCTTGGGTATATACGGAGAAACTTGCATGTACTTTGGATTAGCGGTTGCCCACCAAGATAATGGTGGGAGAGTTTAGCAAGCAATTGAGCCGGGTTTTGCTTGTCCTCTTCTGGTATCTGCGAGTCGATGATCAATGTAAGCACATCCCATTTTGCTTGTGGAAATGCTTGGCGAAGAGTGGCCATGGCTTTAGGGCATTTGGCTGCAATCCAATATTCTTCGCTATCAAGGGGTTTAGCAGGATTGATGTCATCTTCCATGACACAGAAGTCCCTGAAGAAAACTTTAAATGCACCGCAGTGATCTGCTGATGTGGCATCGAAGGTGAGAGGAGAGGCTCACAAGCTGTTTTGTGCCCTTTTTCAAGCAGTACAATCCTTTTTCTGGAACATACCACTTACTGTTGTCGTAATAAGTTTTCAGAAGGACAGAAATATCTTCAAGGGTTGAATCACACCAGACTTAAAGCACAACATCAGCATGCCCTAATACTTTCATTTCTGGGCCAAGTTGATAAACATACATGTCAAATATGCCAGCGTGCTCACGAATTCTCAGGAATCTGCAAGGAGTTTGGCCTTGTTCTGTTTAGAAAAAATGTAAAGAAGGTTTAACTAGAAATACTGCTGGGAAATTACAAGGTTATAATAGCTACAGTCCTCGTCACATTAAGTTGGAACACCTGGGGCAGAAGCCATAGTGAAGCAAAACGGTGTGCTCTTTCCCTCCCTGAGTGTTGAATTTTTTGCTTCTTTAACGCCAACCCGCAAAAAGAAACATCAAGGGGGGCAGAAAATGTCAAAACTGTCCCGGCTAATGTGAGGAGTATTGTAGGTTTTCTTTACTTTATATTTGTCATAATCATGATATATTTTAGGTGGCTGATTCAGAGGTTCTTACAACAAGCACCAGTAACTCCCATGACTAGCAGTAATGTTATTCCAGTAAAAACTGCAATTCAGAGGGTTCAATGCTTTATGCCGATCTCTACCTCCTTCATTGAAGACACCATCTTGCCCTTTTTGCAATAGAAGTCCAAGAGGTCAAGATCAAGGACATAAAATAACACAAGACAACAGTCAACAAGAGCACTCGAACCATGCCACTTATTTTGTAGAACACCTTTGTGTTTTGAGCGTTGAGACGAAGCTGAGTGTGATGATTTTGGTCGACGAGAAGCAGCTAAGAGTGATGACTGAAGCTGTAGGTAATAAGACTTCTGACACCATGAAATAGGCCAATGAGAACCAAGATTCAAAGCAGACTTTATTGCACAAAACAACATGGCTGACTCGCACGAGAGGAAAGAATCATGGATGCTCATGTCAAGTCAGAGCATGTCGCGTAACAAAGGCATCTATTGTTCCCGAAGTTCTGGTCGGTTTGACTGTAGACTCCAATCTAGAACCCAGGTCCCTCAATGATGGGTCTTGTGGGGCACATAGAGACAAAAGAGACGAAGAAAAAGAAAATGCAGATCTAGAATTAGATAATTACATAACAAGACATAAACATCACAAGCAAGATTTAAAATATTTTTAAGTCACAAAGAGTCCTGGGACGGTCATAAAAATTAAATAGATGCTACCAGGTGCCGTGTGGAAGGACACAAATACTAAATCACATGTGAATTAAACACCAAGTGAATGACAGTGGCGAGCCGGTGGTACCAGGTACCAATAAACATATGATACTTCACTTAATGCGGAAAAAGCAACCAGTAAAACCAGCAACCCTGCAAATAAGGGCATGAATGAAGAGAATACACCACTGGGAGTGTAAAGAATAAAACTACTTCCAGAAATGAGCCATAATGCAATGGTAGCTGGCTGTAGTTAAATGCTAAAATAGAAATATAGAATATGCTGCCTAGATCATCCACCCTGACCTCCAGATCCAGACACTACTTCCATGGTCCTGCACAGTGTTCTCTTTTGATGCATATTAGATTTTCTGTATCTTTCACATTTGAAACACAAAACAGCTACACTGACCATTAGTCCTACTATAGTTTGTTGATCATTAATAATTTTTCTGACATAATAGATGGGACGCATGTACATTATTTCATAAGAATGGAGTTAACCATCATTAACTAACCACAGTCTATAATGTACATGTACATCAGCCTAGTCCCTAGGCGTTCTCGGCTCGGTCAATCCTGGATTCTACCGTGAGCTGTGACGTCACTGAGAGATACACGCTGAGAATGCCTAGCCAATACTGCTAGATCAAATATGGCGGCCCTTTTGTCAGGTTACTGTAACTTCAGCCGAAAGTAGCTGAAAATCCGTCATTTGAACAGAAGAGTTTCTATGTGCACGCCACAGCGAAAAGCAGAGTTTCGGTTTCTTAAAAAAGGATCCGCAAGACCAAGTTTTGTTCAACTTAAGTGGACTTTCACGCACAGCAACAGGTACCAGACGATGAACTTTTTTCTTGAATTTGTGCCAATGAATCTCCACACGATGGAGGAGCTGGGGTTACGGACTGTCGTCGAAACAGGAAACAAGGCAAGCGTGTATATTGTCAACATATGATTCATTATGGCATTTCTGGGCATCTTCAAGCACTCGCTAATGTTTTAAAACGACGCATCAAAAGTGTCTCTCCAGAAAAAAAAAATAAACACAAAAAGTAGGTGTTGCGGGTTTTGATTCACTTCGTTATGTAGATATATATATATTTTTTACTTAAGTGACAGTTTCCAGCAGAAAAACATCATATCTTTCTTACATTTCTCACGAAATACAGATATTAAGGGCCCAGATGGGTGTCTGAATACCGCACTTAAATTTTTACCAGCTAAATTTGTTTATAGTGAATTAAGCTTAAGTTTATGTTAGACAAAGAAAAAACTCGATTTTCGGTGTGTTAGCATCGAAGATGTAAAAGATACTGTGTAAACCCTAGTTGTATGGTTATTGAACTGTTGTGTGCCTATAGAGCTATTGTTGACAAACAAACCCCAGTTTAGGAGAAACGAATATCACATTGTGAAACACTTAAAAAATACTTTATTTGGCATTGCATCGTTGAATTGGAGGAATCATGAACGTGGGTAGCAGTTCTTCTTTTCTTCCCTTCTCTCTCTCCCTGCAGGCTTCTCTTGTTGTGCCAAGCCACCAGTGTTTGGTTCCTTTATTCCTTTTTCCCCAGTAAGTTTCTCATTAAAATACCTGAAATTTAATAAATTAAAAACAAAAAACATTTGAACTAGGTAGAAAATTAACCGTGTTAAAGGGTACATACAAATGTGGCTCATGATTAGAAAATTGAAACCATTTGTGTAAAATAAAAAATATTTCAACCTAAAGAGTGAAATTATACCCGATTAAGGATGCATGGACACCATGAATTTTACTGCGAATGTAAGACCCTATTAAGAAAATATTATTATTTTGCTGATCTATAAATGCTATCTTATTGTATTCGTACTTTGTGCCTGTAATAAATTAAATAATATGCACCACACCCCCATTAAGCCCACCCCTCCCGTCGTTTTCTGCCTGTCCCAATATAAAACTCACTGGAATCAAAAAATGAAATACTGGCAGATTTATAACGAGGCTATAATATGCTGTTAAGGTTGCTTAGTTTAAAATTGCTGTGTAACAATAATGAAATAGTTGGAATTTTTCAAATAAGCAAATATAACTATTTATTTAATTAAAGTAAGAATTACATTCCCAGGTATGCAATAATCAGCTGAAAGATTGAACTTATTAAATTTGTAGCCTCAGTATAAATAGCTTCAGGTTACCCTAAAGGTCATTTTATTTCCAGTGGCTACAACTCACTTCTCCAGATCTTCAAAAATACAAAGTCAGAATTAAGCTTAAGTTATAGTATACAGATAAAGAGGATGGGCACGAAGCGAACTTTCGGAAATAAATAAATAAATATGTCAATTATTGTTGTTCATTCAAAATATGTAACCATTTTCAATTGGCTCAAGCCCCCAGCTAATTCATAACCAACAGGTACTTTTCATATTTGGAGGATGCAAGCAATATACCCTTGATCCCATGATATTTGGTTTTAGAAGCAGGGTTAGTACATGGCTGCTTGGGCAAT